CTGATGGCTTGTTCCTGCTCTTGATAAGCCGCGAGTCCGACGAAAGCCGCTTCGGTTGTTCGGAGGCCCCGCATTTCTGGCTCGATGAGGGAGCTGGACGTTGCGGGAAGCCGGGCCTCTCCGGTGGTCAGGGAGGCCGAACCAAAATTAGCTGCGAGGCGCCCTGGCGTTGGCCGGCAGCATATAGCTGCTTTCAGCTGGCCTCGTGCAGGAGCCATGGTGGAAAAGGCAGCGTGGATTCTTCGGCGACGGCCGAGAGCAGAGCACAGCCAGACGGTCTGACGTCAGTGGGTCAATGACCTCCCAGCACCTCCAGCGTCCGCATCGATGGGGGGAAGCTATGACGCACTCCTCGCGGGCTCGCACCGAAGCGTCACGCACTCACACCGCCGACAGCTGCGCGAGCGTAGGCGCAAAGCGTCCTTCGTCTCTCTCTCTCCCGGCAAGCACCGACACGCAAGGTCACACACAGCTCCCTTCGCGGTAGACGAAACGAACACGGAAAAAAAAGTGAAAACAGAGCAAAACGACACTCAACATCTGGCGAAAAACATAAAACACAAATAACACTTAATATTAGACAAAAATAAACATAAAATACACATGAACACTTCAAAAAAAAAAAAAAAAAACACTGGCAGTAGACAGGGCGGGGTCAACTCCTTTACGAGAAAAGGCCGTAAAGAAGCTAACCTATACTGAGGCTAGACAGTAAACTGAGGGCCTTCGGTTGCGCAGAAGTCCGCCGTCCGGCGCGAAATCACAAAGGTGACCGCTTCCTCAGATTATACCGGCGCGGGGTCCGAATGCGGTCCGTCGCTCCGGGTGTGCCCGTTGCTTGCGCGAAGTGCCGCAGGGCACTGGCGCGAGCTCGTCAGACCGTGACAAAGGGCTTCAGGTCTGCGATGTGGGCACGGCTGAGTTTTCCCAAAGGGGATCTTTCAGCTAGTACGCGCCACGGACGCTCACTGACAATCGGTTCATAAGACCGGGCGGCTTGCCACCCCTTGATTTCACCGTTTGACAGACGTAGCAGGAACGGCAATAGCGAAAAATGTCACGCTTCATGCCAAGCCAAGTCACAACCTTGCTCAGTGTCGCAAAAACTTTAGAGCCACTCAGGTGACCGGCAATGGGCTCGTCATGAGAGGCTCGCAACAGTGCGGCTCTCAGACTTTTGGGCATAACCAACTTAAACGGGTCTATGGACTCGTCGTCAGTGGCTATATACTTCAGCAGGAGCCCATCATGGTTCAGCAAAATGAATCCGCCGGGGACTCAGCGACACACGCTGTTTCAGCCCCCAAATCGCGCCCGCCGCAGAACAAGCAGCGTAACGGCGCACCTCTCAAGACGGTTTAACGGCGCCCGCCGCAAAGCAAGCAGCGTATACGGCGCTCCGTCCCTCCGAGACTCGAAACGGATCACTCTGCTGAGCCTTCAGTAGCTCTTCGCTGCCGAAAGCAACTCCCATTCTCCCAAATGGGGGAGTCTGGTATCGCGCCCACTCAGGACCGCAGCAACCGCCGCGTGCACGGCGTCACGGGTTCGCTCTCGGCACGGTGGCCTTCGGAAAGTTCCCCGCGCTCGGCCGCTACGCAGTGCGCCGCTTACCTGGATAGCAGCCAAGGTTTGTCCGAATGGGGACTCACCTTTCTCGCCGAATGGCGGCGAAGCTGCTGTTTCGCCCCCGACGCTTGCATGTGCTAAGGCACCGCGAGCGGCCGTCGCACCGAAATCCAGGTTCTCGGCAGACAACAAGGGGCACGAGATAGCGCGTCAGCTACCACGTAGGAGTGTATTCACCACAAAAAGGGGTGACGACACAGGCGAGCGCCGAAGGGCGCCCGTCGATAGAGGCGGTGGCCTCTTGGTGCAACGCGGCATGCCACGAAGCAGACATAACGTTCGGGTAGGGCAAGAGGCCCATTCCGAAGCGACGCGCCATCTCCAAAGGGAGCGGCTAGGCGCCTCGTGTCGTCACCGCAATAGGGGGTGCCGACACGGACGGGCGTCGGAGGCGCTTGTGCGTAACGTTCGGGTAGGGCAAGAGGCCCATTCCGAAGCGACGCGCCATCTCCAAAGGGAGCGGCTAGGCGCCTCGTGTCGTCACCGCAATAGGGGGTGCCGACACGGACGGGTGCAGAAGGGTTCCCGTCAATAGAGGCAATGGCCTCCGTGTGCAACGCGGCATCCGCTAAAAAGGGACAGCGGACAAAAGTCCCGCGAAGCAGCCATGTTGCGACGAGCCCGAATCGCGCAGGCGAACTGACTCGCTAAGAGCAGTCAAAAGCTAGAGGTTTTGATACCGCGTTGGGCGCCAGTGTGGTGTACACGTATCCCGAAGGAGTACGGCCACCAGCGTGGGTCCGGTCTTAGCGAGCCGCAGGGCACGCGTTAACCGTCGCCGTGGCGAGAACACGATACTGCTCAAAGTCGCAACACTTTATTGTGGCAACACCAAACGCAGTACAGCCCGTTGCAAAAAGGCGCGGCAGGAAAGCAAATAGGCTTATCCACGCCACGGGCACAAAAGTACTACACAGGGTGCCACGAGCACGTCTCCGCGGTAAAGGTAATCCACGGAGACACCGGGACAAAGGGGGCCCGGTTGCTCGAGCGAGGGCAAAGGCGCTCGCGTTGGCTTCGAAGGGAGACGGGTCGGCGTAGCTAGGCCACGCACTAGGACACCGTACTGCCCTTCGGCCGTGAGTACGCAGCGGGGCAACAAAAGGTGAGCGTTCGCATCGGGCGCGAGGCGCCGTCAGCGAAGTCCGACGAGCCCCGAGCGACGGGACTCGACGGACGGAAAAGAATGCGTGGCTCACCGTTTGAAGTCCCGGACTGTACTCACCGCTCCCGACGCAGCGCGCGAAAACCTCTCGGGGGTCCCCGCGCACGGCGCCACAGTCAACATCCGCTACCGGGTGAGGGAGTTAAACGTCACTCCGCCCTTCCCAGCGCGGCTGACGGCAAAGGAGGGCAGACATGTCGGGACATGAGAATGGCAGAAAAGGCGGGAAAGCCCGCGCAAAGGCAGCGGACCAGCCTCAATTCCCACAGTCTGAAGGCAGATCTAGCCCAAAACACTCATTTTACAGTAAAAAAGTGGATTAATATTCCGATAGCAACTATATGGACCCTCTCGGCGGGTTTTCGTCGTCGCCGCCATGTTTTGTAACAAGTGCGAATTGACACCATGCCCTTGCGCATCTTAACTTTCACGAGCGACAAGCGCTGCTGAAGAAGAGATCAAGTGAGTCGGCCCATCCCTATCGCCCGGAAATTGCATAAAATCTCCCCCGTGTTGTTAGAACTGCCGTCGAATGTTCATAAACCACCCGTCTTGAACGAGCATGAAACAATGCGGAGAGGGGGGAGGGGAATCACTCGAGCAGCAATAATGAACGATTTCAAGGGCGGTCGCGATCACTGGCACGCTTGCTATATCTGCAAGTAGTGCGGTTTCAATAAGAAGGGACTGTGTGAAAAGAGCACTTCTCCCTGGAGCGGCCGTATTTGCTCACACCAGTGTTTTGTAAGAGTTCTGCGATATCGGATAAAAAAGAGTTGGCTGCCAGCCTTACTTCTCATAGCATTAAAATTTTTTGCTATCGCGTTCATTGTATTCAACGTGTCGTCGCATAGCCAGAACTAATCGGCTAATCGCGAAAGCTACCAGCCTGCGAACTCGAAGCGCGGCGCAAGATGGAAGCGTGTGACAAGTCGACCTCCCAAGATTCGTCGTCACCCTAGTCTCGGAGAGTTTCCATCAGTGCTTAATATGACATCTCCTCGGTGGTGAAGACACGGTTGTTCGAAATTAAAGAAAGTCGGAGTTTCGCCACAAGGGCGAAGAAATGAATGCGATAGCAACAACTTTAAATACACAGAACAGGACGAGATGGAACTAACAATGTTTACCACTCGACACTTAACGCGCTGTTTAAACAAAAACGAGGCACGAAACGTAATCACAGGTACAGATATGAGTACGAACTAACAAGTGCCCCAGTTGTTACTTCGGTGCGTTTGAAAAGCGCACCCTTTTCGCAAACGGCGCCTGTCCAGCGAGCAAAGTATCTTCCTGCGCCCGGCAACAAAACTCAAATGTCCCCGGTCAAAGTCGAAGGCGCTATTCTCCCCACCGAAGGATAACCGTGCGCGCACAAGCATCTAACCTCCCCCCCTCTCATTCATGGAGCAAAGTACACGTGAGAGATAAACGCACATCAGCGCATCGTGACAAGCTGGACGCTGAGCGCGGGCGGCTTTTTTTTTTTTTTTCATTTCCTGAGTATTCATATATATAGATACCTGAATGACAGCGGTGGAGGCAAAAAACCAGTCGAGACTGTCCATATACATAATTGCTATCGCAATAAAAAAAAAGCAAAGCTGAACGTCGTCGGGGGCCACACTATGCGCATGCAGTGAAACTATGCACGCGGGCACGGCATTGAAAACGAACAGCAAACGATACGGACACAGATACCACGGAAAACTATTCGGTAAAGTGCCCTCCATATGCCTGCTGGCAGCAAAGAACGCATGATACACTGTTCGTTCTTCACAAGTTCATTGCTACACTTTCATTACAGTTCACTGTCAAAGTATAGTATTTGGAAGTCAGTTTGTTAAACTATCAAAAAGATTACCATCCACCTGTTTGCAGCACAAAACTACAATGAAATCTACATGCTTTTATCTAATAAAAGAAAGCTTGTCCTTGCCCAGGGTTCGAACACCGGACTACTGCCTTTGCAAGGCAGTCACGCTAGCAACTTGTGTTGTTAGCAGTGTAGTTAGTTGGCAGGTCTTGTTACACAAGTTTATATTGACTGGATGAAGGACAGTGTTCTCATTGTGGTTGTCAAAACAGTGACACTGTGGAGGACAACGATGGCCAAGTGCGCAGTGTGACTTTTTTGTCCTTCTTAGCATAGCCTTTGGTGCAGAAATGAACGTTTCCTAGTTTAGCTGCCCCTTACTGAACTCACCGAGATAGCACAGCAAACAACAACAGCCTGGCAGGAATTGTCCAGGAGAGTCAGCATCTTGGAAAAAAGCTGCTCCTGCAGTGCCGGGTCCCGTGCGTAGCCGCCCACAGCCAACTCCAGGTGCTCAGCCGCAGCTCCCGTCATGTCCACCAGTGCGTCAGACAGGCTGCATGCTTCCAAAAGTTCATAGCAGCCCAGGAACCTGCACAGCGCATAAGAGCCATGGACACTCACAATTGTACACTGGACACAGTTCAGGTGCACAGTAATGACATTAAAGTCGTGACTTCTACCCCGCAATGGCCTTCCAACTACGGATCCTTAAAAAGCGTACTGTATTTAGACAACTGTACATCAACCCATTTGACCTAAATTTGAAATCTGAAGTTGGTGGGTCGACTTACAGAATTGAAACCAAAACTATTACTGGCAGAACAAATGAGTAACCAGGGATACTATGGTGTAATTACAACATTATGTTTGCTTTGTGACGGCACCCAAGCTTGGAAAAAAAATAACCTCTTTCCTTTTCAACTTTGACAAGGTCGCTGCCACTGTTTTTTATGAGAAGTGCCGTTGCTCTTAAAAAGAGCAGCTCTTGCTTTAATTATCTACATTATGGCGACAGCCGTGTGCAAACCATTTTTCAAGTGTCACTGAACCGTGAGCAACAACGGCAAACATTATCAGAGTGTTAAGCGAGGTTCAACACCTCTTCCGATTTCAAGGGCTGTCGTAGGGCATAAGGTGTGTACCGTTTTTTTCTGCACCATGCATATTAACTATGCAGATGTGAGAAGCACGCAAACAAGCAAACGATGCACTTCAAAACACCAATATTAGTATGTTGAGCACACAGATTCGATCGTGTACAAAATGCCAATAAGCTGCAGTTGTGCTTACTTGGAACAGACTGGTCAGTGCCTTAAAGGGGAACTCCTGCGTTTTTTCGATATCTGCCGATTTCAATAAAACTTTGAACATGTGTTCTCGTCGGTACCGTAGTGATATATGCCAAATAATACAACCGTGAGTCGTTTATTTTTCTAGAAAACAAGTTTTAAAATTCGTAGCTGATTTTGGAATCACACTTGTAAACGCGGGCCACCCTGTGTATGTGAAGTACGACACTACTTTTTTTTTTTAAATCCAGCCTTTCCCAGAAGACGGATGCAGCGTGCGCTTTTTTCTACGAGGTTATCTAGAACAGTAGAACAGTTCAGTTTTGTCAGCTGCATACAGCTTGTTAGTCGTCATTGACATTAAGCCTTACAGTATTGAGCAACGAAAAAAATCGATTCAAGGCATGTCAGATGCTTCACGCGCCGGCGGGTCAAAAGCAATAATCGATGCTTCTGCGCACAGATAGCACCTGCAATCATTGCCAAACTTGTCACTGATAAGTTCAGATGTGCTATCTGAGCTTGATTCCGTGTCAGGTGACATTGCCAACTTGCTTTTCGCGCTGTTTATGCCCTGGCCAGCCATGGCGTGGTGTAGCAGACCTCGTGACATCATCACGACCCATTCTCGTGACGTCATTCGATACCCACCATGGACGACGGAGCAGCTCCCGGTTTCAGTTTTGATTCGCCGTTTCTTGCCTCATTATTATTATTGACGAGTGCCTGTACAAAATGAACCACCCTAGCTTTTACAGGACTGTCAATACTGCTTGAAAGTAGCATTCTCTGAGTATGGTAAAAAATGCACCGGAGTTCCCCTTCAAGAGGAGATGTGATTCGAAAAAAAATTTCGTTAATTTGTAACCTAGGGCAATAAAAACTTTTTGCTGTATAAATAGGCTTTTATGCTGATTTCAAATGTATAATTACACTTTTAAAGTAAGTTGCACAGTTTTAGTTGTGTGCCATGTTTAAAATATAGTTCATTTTGGACAAACTTTTTATGCCACTAAACTTTAATGTTTATTATTATACATCACATTATGATCTTTCCCAGCTGAATTAATGTTCTCTTCTAATTCGCAGCCCAACTTGTGCACTTTATCGCCAATTAACCTTAGTTTTCAGACTTTCTTTTTGCTTGCTGTCTACTTCTTGGCCACAAATCCTGCCGTCATTTATTACTCTGTTCTATCGGCAAACTGTTTACCTTTCCAATGTCATCCCTAAAACCAAAGCCTTCATGTAGGTTAGCACCCTAAGATACTCCCGAGTGTATAGTTCTGCATTCAATTAAAGCACTTTGCTATTTCATCCCCTTCTCCATGCGCGTAAAGTTGACTCTTTTGTTACCGCGGGAAAATGGCTATTTTTCATTTGTCTCAGAAATATTGTTTTTGTCAGTATGAAAATCACTTCAGGACGCACTGCAGCATACCAAATTTCGCTCAATGTAATGCTATTTTCAAAAAACATATCTTGTAGAGCACCGAAAACATTTTAGAATGAATAAAAATATGAAAAGTGTACAATTTTTGGTTGCCAGCTGGTAAACCGTGCAATAAAAACAGTATAAATGCAAAAGTATTCAAAACAAGGAAAATTCAGAATATTGCCACGTTCCATTTCACAAGTTTTTGTTATCGTTCCGAAACACCACACGATTCTCGGCGCAAACCGCGCCTGCAGGTTTCGAGAAGGTTCCGGACTGTAGTAGATCATTTCGATAAGATCACGCCCACTGTGCGAACGGTACAGATTGTTCTGGAACCTACGCCACCGCCAGCGATAACGCTAGAACATGCGACGGCAAGGGTGTAAATGCCGACGCGCTTCGCCGCTTGTCAGTTGTTGATCGAAGGCCGACGCTGCGTTCACCGCTATCAGTCCGAGACTGCTATCTGTGCAAGACTGCTGCTGTAATTAGACTTTACCGGGCACAGGTTCGCCCAAATAAACAGTTAAATCCCAACACAAAGTTTTCTGTCTTTGGCCACGTCACGACCCCGTGACATCTGGTGGAGGTGCTGGGTTCGTGATTATCGGCGGTTCGTGAAAAACTTCGCCCGTATCGCCGATCCTCTCACTAACCTTACCAAAGCCGACGCGGAGTTCAAGTGGGAAACGCCACAGGAACACGCTTTCCAGGAGCTTAAACATCGCCTCCAGACGCCTCCGTTACTTGCCCATTTCGATGAATTCGTCGAGACAGAAATACATACTGACGCAAGCAGCGTAGGTCTTGGCGCCGTTCTTGTGCAGAGGGCTGACGGACTTGAAAGGGTTATTAGTTACGCCAGCCGATCGCTATCCAAAGCAGAAGCAAATTATTCCACAACAGAAAAGGAGTGCCTCGCCATCATCTGGGCTACGTCGAAATTTCGCCCCTACCTCTACGGCAGGCCCTTCAAAGTTGTGAGCGACCACCACGCCTTGTGTTGGCTAGCCACCTTGAAGGACCCTTCAGGTCGCCTCGCACGATGGAGCCTGAGACTTCAAGAATATGACATTACTGTCATTTACAAGTCCGGCAAAAAACACTCCGACGCCGACTGTCTCTCTCGTGCGCCTGTCGACCAACCGCTACCCGACGACCCGGATGACGACTACTTCTTGGGAACGATCACTACCGACGACTTCGCTGAACGACAGCGGGCCGTCCCGGAACTTAAGGCCCTAATAGAATACCTCGAAGGCAGGACCGCTGAAGTCCCGAAGGTATTCAAGCGCGCACTTGCGTCGTTTTTTCTACGAAACGGTCTTCTACAAAAGAAAAACTTTTCACCGCTTCGAGCTAAGTACCTCCTTGTGGTGCCTTCAACTCTGCGACCAGAACTCCTGCAGGCCCTGCACGACGATCCGACGGCAGGGCACCTCGGTGTTTCCCGCACGCTCGCGAGGATACAAGAAAGGTACTACTGGCCACGTCTTACCACCGACGTCACTCGTTATGTGAGGACATGCCGGGACTGTCAGCGACGCAAGACACCGCCGAAAAGGCCAGCGGGACTTCTGCAGCCAATTGATCCACCTTGCCGACCCTTCCAGCAGATTGGTGTGGACCTACTGGGGCCGTTCCCGACGTCGGCTTTCGGCAACAAGTGCATCGTGGTAGCTACCGACTACCTCACCCGCTACGCCGAGACAAAAGCCTTGCCAAAAGGCAGTGCATCCGAGGTAGCTAAGTTCTTCGTCGAAAATATCGTCCTACGTCACGGCGCCCCGGAGGTTCTTATCACCGACAGAGGAACGACATTCACTGCCGACTTAACTCAAGCGATCTTGGCATACAGCCAAACAAACCACCGCCGGACGACAGCGTACCACCCACAGACCAACGGCCTCACCGAGCGGCTTAACAAGACGATCACCGACATGCTGTCAATGTACGTCGATGTCGAACACAAGACGTGGGACACCAGCCTTCCGTATGTGACCTTCGCATACAACACGGCGGTGCAGGAGACGACGCAGATATCTTCATACAAATTGGTCTACGGAAGGAGCCCGGCAACGACGCTCGATGCCATGTTACCCAACGTCACCGACGAAGAAAACCTCGATGTGAGCGAGTACCTTCAACGCGCCGAAGAAGCCCGACAACTTGCGCGTCTTCGTATCAAGAATCAACAGACGACCTACAGCCACCGTTACAACCTTCGACGACGCTTCGTGGAATACCAGCCCGGTGAACGTGTTTGGGTGTGGACGCCGATACGCCGACGTGGACTAAGTGAAAAGCTTCTGCGACGGTACTTCGGACCGTACAAGGTGGTTCGACGTCTCGGCCCACTTGATTACGAGGTTGTCCCCGACGGCATCACGAACTCTCGACACCGATCGCGACCTGAAGTCGTCCATGTCGCGCGCCTCAAGCCGTTTCATGCACGTTAACAAACTGAAACAGTGTTTTTTTTGTATTATTGTTGTATTGTAATTTATTCATTGTACTTTCTTGCATTATTATTGTACCTTCATCTTTAGTTAAAGCATCGGGACGATGCCTTTTTTCAGAGGGGGGCAATGCCACGTTCCATTTCACAAGTTTTTGTGATCGTTCCGAAACACCACACGATTCTCGGCGCAAACCGCGCCTGCAGGTTTCGAGAAGGTTCCGGACTGTAGTAGATCATTTCGATAAGATCACGCCCACTGTGCGAACGGTACAGATTGTTCTGGAACCTACGCCACAGCCAGCGATAACGCTAGAACATTCGACGGCAAGGGTATAAATGCCGACGCGCTTCGCCGCTTGTCAGTTGTTGATCGAAGGCCGACGCTGCGTTCACCGCTATCA